TTTTTGTTATTTTTTATGCAGGAGTTTTCGTAAAATTATGACATTCTCCCAATATTACAACTTTATTCTGGTAACAATAAACTCATTATTCTTGCATTATTTTGAAACACGCTTGTCAAGTAAGATGATAGGCTTCACTCTTAACCATGGAATCCCAAAGAAAAAGAGAGAAAAAAACTGTAGATTTTTTAAAACTTACATCTTGAAAAACAAGATTAATCGAATTATCCTGGATTACAGGCATACTTTTACCTTTGTTTGAATTAGTATGCTCCCACTTATCTTAATGCTATTACACCTGGATTTTCTCACTCTTTGACAATAAATTATATTTCTCTTCTATTTTATTAGTGATAAAACAAAACAAGTGTGATTTCAAAGCCCATGGAAATGCAAAACACAACCTCTAAGCTCTTAGGACGTAAACCTTTAAAAAATAAACAACTTTTTATGCCAGTGACGAATGCAACGCCTTCCATTGATTATATTTATTTCCACCTGCTGGATAATGTTTATAGCTCTGAACATAAATTACACTGATTCATAATCCGCTTACCTTGTAGTATCTGAAGTAATCTCTCTCCGCCAGTTTCTTGATGCGAGGATAAATCTTGAAGTTGTTGAAAACGTCAATGCTTTCAACATCACAGAAGCAGTCATCGAGAACCCCTGTGAGCTAAAGCAGAGCACAAAAAACAAGGCAAATTAGCTGAAACTTCCAGGAGATTTATTTACTTTCTAAACGTATTGTTGTTTTTTTTAAGAAAAGTTCATAATAAACTTTAAATCCTACAACAGTAGGTTGATCAAGGCCCATGAAATGTCATAATGTCCTAAACATCTATGAGAATGATAAACTGGAACACAATAGCAAGTGACATATTTAGGAAATAATATGTAACTAAATGAACTGTGAGATTCTAGCATTTAATTTACCAAAAGAAGAGATGGAGGAGATATGAGCTGAGTTGTGTTGCAACAGCAGGTTTGACACACAAACCACCACCAGTTTGAACCATCATTAATACTTTCAACACACAAATGTGTTTTCTTATCGGAGCCCAGAAAAACTAAAAGAAATCCCCTTCGATCAAACATGCTAACGCTGAGGTGAGCCTCAACTGCAACAAAAACCTAAACCAGAGAACATTAAGACGTCCAGCAAATGTTTAGAGAAGGTTGTATAGTTTTCCTTCTTATGAAAATCTGCTGTAACACACCCAGGTCTGGGTAAACAGGTTGCTTTGTTTCAACAAGTGATTTAACAAACTAGAAAACAATTCATCCAAATTGATGCTTAAATACCTGATTCACTGTTTGAGATTAGAAGAACAAGGCTAAGAACATTGTCTGAAACTTAAGAAACAAAAATTGCAATAAAATATACATAGATGAAAATGTTTGCATATGGAATAAATTTTTAAAAATCCAATACTGAAATTATGAAGATTAATTTTATTTGTACAGGTAAGTTATTCACAGCCCTGGAATATTTCAATTTTAAATTATTTTAATTATTTTGGTTGAACCACTAAGTTTGACTTTGTCAGAAAGTAACAACTTAAAAAAAAGTGTTTTGACTTTTGTTAAATGTTCTATTAAATCAATTCAAACACTTTATTAATCCCAGAGGGAAATTAAATGTTGTAACTCATTTTATCCAAGTTTCTGCAGAGTTGCTGTAGATGCCAATGGCTGTAGTCAGGAGTTTTCTCCTGTAGCAGTCAGTGCTACAGCAAAGCTGAAGAAGCCTCTGATTAAAGAGGCTTCACAACGAGGATGCACAGTGTTTCAAATAATGCAATCTTTCTCAATAATGACGTAAATCTCTTTATTAGCATTATAACAATAAAACACTTCATATAATTGTGGACCATTCTTTGAATGTTTTCAATATTTTTGATGCATTATCTTTAGGAATGAGCTTAAAGCAGTCACTCAAATTTCTCTACGTAGTTTCTCTATCAAATCAGGACTTTGAATGGGCCTCTCCAAAACATCAATAATACCTTCTGGTAAAATGAAAAAATAACATTTGACCTAACTCTTTAAGAGGTACCAATTTACAACAACCATCAGTTTTTATTCAGAATTATAAACGCAAATTCATCCTCATAAACAAACATTTCAATATGACCCTAGTTAAAGTAAAATGCAGTCAAATTCAGTTTGTAATACAAATGATGGCTTAAAAAAAGGCAATCCATCTTCCGGAGAGAACATGTTTAAAAAGCAGAAAAGAACGACTCAGTTTCAACACACAGAAACTTCCAGAAACCCTAAAGTGATCAACATGTGGTTTGAGTGGAGAAAAACACGGAAGAACTGTCTTTTTATAGTAATGAAACTAATTGAGAAACAGAGATAAACTGATAAGGTCTAAGGAAGTGGTACGATTTCTAAGATGATGAAATACATTTTTGTATTTTGTACTTTTGAGAAGTGAATGAAAGATATCCTAGAAATCGGCTACATATTGTATTTAAAGGGGATTTCCTGATCAAACAGCAAGAAAGTTCCTCCTTGGATGCTCTAGTACAAATATGACAAACCATGTTTTAATTCTATATAAATGCAGTTTTTTTATGCATGGAGAACAACTTTTACAGAATCTTTATAGATCATTTGAATTAGTTTCACAATTATCTTCAAATTTATGACAAAATGTACCTGAAATTTAAAGTTTAAGGCATTTACAATGAAAAATGTGTAATGGTTCCTCAAAAAAAAAAAAGAAAAATTATTCAAAACTGAAACATATTTTTCCACAAATACACAGAAGCATTTCTAAACAGCCAAATTTGTGAACAGTGAACTGAGATATCAAGATACTAAACCCCTGAACAAAATTAAAGCGTAACATTTTTCAGTTAGTTCTCTTTAAAATAGTGGAATGATTACTTATATTCCCTTTAAAACCTACTTTCTAAGTGAAAAACAATGTATATGCATTTTCAAATTTTTGATGTAAACAGAGCAGCAGCAGGACCACATACAGCTTATTTTTGTTATTCACTGTAGAGAAGAAACACTGAGATAATCTCATCAAAAACTTTTACATTTATGCGATAATCTTCAAACAAGAAAAGCTTTTGAATTCCTGGTCAGATATACGTTGGCTACGCTGCGTCTCTGGTAACAACTACTGCCTGAATTTGCATCAGATGAAAATCAGTAAGTCAGGGTTACTTAGTGCATTACTGGAAATACTTCCACAGGTTGAAATTATTTACTGAGGTTTCAAAAAGTAACGTACATTACAGTCATTTTTGTCGACTCACAGGTCAGGTTAGTGTTTCATTTTCAGAATCAAACTGATTAATTACTCAAGAAGCTAACATATGTGACCAACAAGGGATTCTATTAGACCCAAATGAAGAACTATAAAAAGTTTATTAAGCGGCCATATAATAGTACCACATTAAACTCTTTATGAAAACTCAACTTACTTTTTTAGTTGGTTTTTTTTTGTTGTTGTTTATAAAAACAAAATGTTGAAATTAACTAATGTCTGAATTTATCTTTTAGGAATTGGGAAATAAACTTACAAAACAATCTAAAGACAGCTTACAATAACATTTGTATAACTAGATATAAATAGCACAGGTGTAGCAGACACTCAGGAATACCAGTTTGTCTTGTTATCGCAACAGAAGCATGAAAAATTAAAGTACAGCTGACCTCTGAGTGCAGCAGTCCACTGAAAGCCAGCACCATAATAGAGTACCCAGTTGTTCTCAGCATCATTTCCTTCTTCTGATATTAACAAAGTTTCCCTTTTGGTGGTGAAACTGCTCTCCATATGCTGGGGCAGAGCAGAAGTGCGTCTGTAGGCAGAGCTGTCATAACTAACCAACAGCTCAACCCCTGATACGGTTCCACCTCCAAAACAACCAAACCCCGCCTAACGGAAGTGCTCTGACTGTAGTTTTAGGGAGAACTGTGCCCTTTATATAGCAGTAAAACACAGTAGAGTAAAAACTACAAATCCCATGAGAAGGCACAGGGCAAGATGCGGAAGCAGCCAATGAGAACACACCACGATTTGGACTTGTCCGTGGGAGTGAGACCTGTTTGAGCTGAAATTAAAAAGCATTACACCCACACAAAACCCGAATGCTGTTAGAGACAAAAACAAGGCTTTGTGTGGCAGTGAGGTGGCTCATGCACTGAAGAGTTGCTGCAGCACATCTGGATCAGAGGTTCTGATCCAGAACTGCTTCTTTCGATTAAGCAGAACTGAAGTTGGGACTTAGAAAAGTTGCAGGGTAGCAGAAGACCAGAAATCCTGACCTGCACCGTCAATATTTGATATACAAAATGCTGCATGGAGACAGAACTGAAGGTAGCAACGTAATAACACGCAATTCTGGATAAAAACAAATCTATTTTCACATAAAGCGGCTAAAAAAACCCGTTTGTAGGGTGTCCTTACATGACAGAGGCAGCTCTGATCCGCACTGTCCGACTCGCTGCTCTGGTGCTCGTTGTGCTGCGTTTGGGGTCTCCCGCTGTTCTGTTGAAACCAACCAAAAACTAAGTTCCTCAGAAAGCAGATGGACAGCAGAACCCAGCAGGCTTGTGCAGTTATCCTCCACATCCCTCACGGAGCTGCGCTGCCAATGATGGACGAAGAAAAAAACAGACTTCCGCCTCTCTCTGTTCGACTGCGATCTATGGGATGTTAGCCACCGGGCTAACTCTAGCTAAAACTGAAGAGTCCGCTCACACTGCATAAAAACACACAGAGGCACGCTGAAAGAACAAAACATGTCTTTCTAAGTCTGTGGCCACCAAATATCCATCTTACTTTCGATTAAAACACACAAATACGCTTCTTCCTTCCGGAAAAACAGTTCCCATCGTTTTTCTTCTTCTACGCTGCTCTGCTTTCTTCTTCCTGTTTTTTTTTTATTGACGGTTGCCAAGCAACGTTTTGGTGCGCAACCGCCACCAACTGGAATGGAGTGTGGGACGGGATACTAAATATCTACATAAGTGTAAAACTACAGAATGCAACTTTTATTCAGCTAATAATCTCAATGGTCTGGTTCGAAAAAACCTAAACATTACAATGAAAATCCAAAAGCATCAATTTACTAAATAAATCCACAGCCAACAGAAATCACATTTTAATAACAAGCTGCAAGCTGTGGTGCTTTGTCTTCACAGTTGAGTTGTTTCAACTGACTCTCTTCATCTTCGACTCCCTCTGCATCACTTTGTATGTGCCTGTAAAGAAAATAAGAGCAAAGACAAAGTGATGCATTTGAAATAATAAAAAATCTTAAGATAAGAAAAGCTAAAACTATGATGCATAAAGGTAAATTCTCCTGCACAGCTCTGTAATCATTATTTTAACACTCGTCATTTTTTGTGTCACAAAACTATAATTAATCTATGTAAACTGAAAAAAGTATGTTTTGTCTTAACAATCTTGGTTTATTTCATACTGAAATGATGTAATGTTTTTAAGGAAAAGGCATTTATGAGTTCAGCAGGAGATTCAACAATTTATGGATTTTTATTTATTTATTTATTTTATTTTGTATTTTTATTTTTTTGAGAAACTAAACTCCAAATTATTCCCAGAAAACCTTCCTACTCTTAGATTTTTCTGTAGAGTACACTAAAATTTGAAAGAAAATACTTTGTTCCTTAACCCACACAAATACCAGAGTTGTACACCAGAGGTCTGAAAGGTCAACAAGCCACCTGACATTTACAAAATCAAGCAAATTTGGGGTCAATCAACTCAGCTATAAATATTTCAGCTCCCCAAACCAGCAAAATAATAATAGTAAAATTAAATTATATCAATTATGCTTGATTTTGTTAGTGTTGGAGCTGGGGGACAAGTTATTATTTAGTGACCTCTGGAAAATTTTTTTTTATTATAATGGCACAAATGAAAATCACAAGCCTGCACAATGTAGCGTAGTTGATTGATGCTATATTTCAATCAGCTGTGGACAAATGCAAACCTTCCCTCCTCAACATCGAGAATATTTTCTGGCAGATTGATGTTTAGCGTTTCTGGGAGGAGAAAAACTAAGCCGCCACTGATGATTCCAGTCCCAGCGAAGATCACAGGAGGCAGAAGAAGCCAAACATCTTCCAGCAGCATGACCATTGGAGCTAAGGAGCCTCCCAACCGACAGAGACTGCAAGTGTAGCCTAAACCACATTGCCTTCACAAAAAAGAAAGAAAAAACAGGTGTTGTGAATTGCTTTTCTGACTAAATCTGACTAAATGTGTACTGCCACAAAGCTCACAGTATTTTTTGACCTTACACAAATATGAACTAAACTTTGACCTGTGAGAAGCATTCCAAGAATGACTGAATGCAGTGTAAAGTGCTTTAGAGTCCTCTGGACTTGATAAAGCAAGGTAGTATGCACGTAGGCTATATGTTAGTCTTAGCTAGCAGATAAAAGCTACATTAGTTAAGCTAATTTTGCTAGTTTGTCAGTAAACACAGACTTTTATCTTAGTATTACACAAAGGTGGGTAGAGTACCAAAATGTTTAATCGAGTAATATTTGTAATGTACTTATATTTTTAGGTTGGATAGGAACGAGGTGAAAGCTAGTTCTAAGCTTACGGCATTTTTATTGTTGACATAGCAACTGCGATGACAGTTAATTATGGAAAGTAACAGTTAAGGATGCCTAAAAGATGGCAGGCAGCTAATAGTGACTATGTACACTAAAGGTTTGAATTGTAAGCTTAGGATGACGGGTGTTACGGAGTGAAAGCTTCTTATGTATATAAAGCTCGTATGTATTTTACTGAACCTTTCTGTTCAGTTTTTATTGAAGAGAAAAACGGCAACAGCTGATAATGGCAACAGCTGTTCGTAACCTAGCAACCAAAAATCAACAAAAGCAAGATAGTGACAAAACAGAACCAGATCCTGTTAAGCATTCTTCAAAATAAAAGACTTCCTCTATTTAAATAAACCATGTCTCACACTTAAATATATTCCACTTTACCTTTGTAATTATATACAATCATGTTCAATACAATTAATAATAATCATCATGTAAATTATGCTTAACATATGATTGTAAATCAGTCACTTATCATGCAAAATATACTGAACAACATATAAGTGTAAAAAAGTCACAACAACAGGAGTTTACCTGAGGACAGTTGGATAGAGTTCAGTTGAGTAGAGGAATGCTGTGGTAAATGCTGCCTCAGAGAAACCTTTTGCCACCACAGCAATGCATGTTCGAATCACAGAGTACTCTAAAAGGAAAAAGTCACATTTCTGAACATATCCATGCGCGGGTATTTATCCAGCTTTTTTTTCCATATGTCAAAGACGAACAAAGAAGTAAATAAATTAACCTAAAGGTATGACAGTGTTTATTCCAATCAGAGCTCCTGTTATGATCAGAAACCATGCCTGGCCGTTCCGACGGCCAATTACATCCAGGATGAAAAAAGTGAGGATTTTGGCTGGGACTTCAATAGCACCATAGATGAACTGAGTGAGGTAGATGCTGACGCCGAATCCTGAGATCTTGAAACTGATCCCATAGTAGAGGAAGGAAACAGCAAACCTTCAAATACAGATATAGACATAGTCAGACTTTATTGTCATTCAGATGTACATTTCAAATGTACATTTTGAGCAAAATTTTGGTGCAATTTAATAAAATGGTTAAGTTGAAATTTTACAGAAACCTGCACCACAGACTGCAGTAGTGCTACTAGTTGTAGTAGTAGTAGTAGTAGTGGTGGTATTGTTAAAGGTTGATTTAGTACCAGGACAGCCCAGAGAGGAAAGTGATCTTCCTTAGCTGAGGGGTTCTGATCAGGTCCAGGTAGGTGTGGTTCTTCTCTGCCACTTCAGTGACGGTTATCTTCCTTAGAACCTGAAACAGCAACAGAGTTGATCACCGATTTGTCTGATTATCAGTTGATTTATTCAGGTAGAACATTTTAAGCTTAGCTAACTTTGAAACGAGAACATCAAGTTGAATCAAGCATCACTCTGATATTGCCTACTCATCAGGGCTTTACACACATACACACAGATTAATAATTTAATTTCAATGTTTTTTAATCCTATCAATATCTGCTTCCTTTATTACACTTAATTTGCTTAATTTCTTTTTCAAAACTGATCTGCATATGCTTTAAAAAGGGAAGTATTATGTGTTTTCCAGGCACTTAATGCCGTTTTATAGTACAATCAAGTAATTGTTACTTTCCGTTTGTATAAAAATGCTACATATATCAAACATGACTTGATTGTGTAATTTGACACCTTCAAATTGAGCTTCTGTCTCTTTAAGAAGCTCCTAATCTCTCTGATACTCCACCTTCAGCACGTCATGACAATAATGCTAGTCATTGTTTACAACCGTTCTTATGAAAGTTAGACTGAGAAATAGTTTGTGTGATAAGCTCAGCAGATGCGTAGTCCCATCAGAAGTTTGCTAACTGCTGCTACTGCTAGTTTGAAGGAGTTGTGTGGGGGAAGTGTGAGGAATGGTTGCTTTATAAGAGCAACATTTAGGCACACTGAATGGTTGTAATGGGAGATTCAAGGATGTCTCAAACATGCATGAAAGAATCAAATCAACACTCCAGTTATGTTTTTGATGAGGGAATAACATTATAACATAACATAAAGCAAGAAAACGTTGATCTTTACCTCAGTGTCCAGTTTGGTTTTGCGTTGATCGGTCCTGTTCATTTTAGCACATTGAACCAAATACTTTTTTGCTTCCTCTGTCTTGCCGTTAGCCAACAACCAGCGAGCGGACTCAGGCAGCCACCTGAAGGAAAACAGAGATTACTGTCTCTCATTCTTATTGAAACAAAAACTACAACTGCTAAAGAGAAGAACAAAATATCGCACCAACAACAGATGATGGTAACAGCGCAGGGAACAGTCACTGCCAGCGTTAGATGCCTCCAGTCTCGTATAAAATAGGCAAGTAGAGCCAGAAGCATGTTTCCAGCGCTCCACGACAAACTCATAATGGTTCCCGTAAAGGTGCGGTGCTTTATATCTGTCCACTCAATACCTTAGCGTGTAGATAAATAATGGACAAATTCAATTTAGCACTGAGAAACTCTATAATTATCTTAATACCCATAAAACATGACCAAATAAATGATTTTAAAAAATTATTTGAATAAAACTGTTAATGTATAATCTGCTGGTACATTTAAGTAGCTCTGTATGAATTTTAAAGTTTGAACAGAGGATAATACTAAATATATACAGTATATGACTTCAAAATATTAAGTGTATGACCCTTTTTTGCCTTTTACTTGCACAAATTAGCTTGTACAATGTTTAGAGTTTGTATTTAAAGCCTGTATATTTATTTGATGTGAAATGGCGTTGTTACCAAGGACTATTCCGATAATCGACAGCCCACTGAGGGATAAGCCGGAAAGCACTCTGGAAATGGCAAACATGACATAGGATGTAGACAAGGCAGCGGTAGCTCCAAACAAGGTGGAGGCAATTAAAGCCACCACAAGCATGGGCTTTCGACCAAGCCTGCAACATACACAGAACATAAAACACAAGTTATTATCAGGAGTAGCAACAAGTTTGAATTGTATTATTTTTTCAAACCTCATTCAACAGAGACTCAGGTTCATTTATGTATTGGATTTAAGTAATAACTGCAACATTATCCAAAGTGGTCAAAGTAGAATGACGCGAAAATAAAGAAAAAGTCAATAAAAACAGAAGACAATATGCTATAAAAGAGTAAGTTTCAGTGCTACCTTGTGCTTTAAAATCAGATTAAAACTATTCAAGAATATTGTTTCTCAACATAATAAATGACACCTGTAGCTTAACTTTACTCCTCAGTAACGCGCAGTAATGTGCATTTTTGTAGACAGTGAAACTGTCTACAAAAACAGACAGAACAGAACGTATTTCTCAATAAATTGGTACTTTCTTGTTTGCAACAAGATGCTGCAAGTTTCAAGATATGTACTGCCATTGCTGCAAACTCATCCTAAAGCAACATCAGCTACTTTGCAACAGTTTGATGTTAGGGGGTGGTCATCATAAGGGAGATACCAAAATCACTGTACCCATTTGGAAACAGCAGTAGTATCAACAACAAGATTCTTTGTTTAATGAGACTTTCACAAACTCACAGAGGTCTTCACATGCATCTGTTGGTCATGCACCAGAGGTTACTGTAGTTGTAGACAAACACTAACACAAGTTTCTGATAAAAACAAAAACAAACAAAAAACAGTGGAACTAATTAGAAATGACCAACAGCTAATAGTTTTTCCATTATACTGTTGACTGAACCATTGACCAGCATCTCCACACATACATGCAGCTTTACTTAAAATCAGAGCTTTGTTCTGCTGGATCATTGTGTGATAACATACTGCAGCTAAGTGAAGACAGAACATTCATCTTTGGTTGTGAACAACTTTGAATCCAGGAGTCAGTTATATTTTTCTATAGTATTTTTTTCTTCTATTTCTTATTTTTTGTTTGTTTTATCTTTTCACTCTGGACCTTCTTATGTGTCTGGGCTAAACATGCAAAACAACTTATCAAAATACTTATATATATATATATATAGAGAGAGAGAGAGACAGAGAGAGAGAGAGAGAGAGAGACAGAGAGAGAGAGAGAGAGAGAGAGAGAGAGAGAGAGAGAGAGAGAGAGAGAGAGAGAGAATTTAATTACATTAATTATA